TTTGAGAATCATTGCAAGAGGCTTACTACAATAAAGGTCAAATGTTAAAAGGCTTGCCTCTTCACCACAAAGATGGCCTGCAGGGAAGAATCAACACGGAAAATTATCCCAGTCAGAACTGCCCCCACCCCTGTCTGCTGTCCCTCATCCCAGCAGGTTTTGAACATACATTCATGTTCCTGACTGGGTCTCAGTTGGACAGAGGAGGGAAAAGGAACATTTTTAAAATAGCTAAAGCTTGGTGAGCATTGAACATGTGTAGGCATGGTGCCACGTGCAGCTGGGCATGCACCGACCATGAAATCTCATGAAGGAGGGTCTGGCATCTCCCCATGTGACAAAAGAGGAAACCAGGCCTCAAGGAGGTCTGGCCACTTGCCCAGGGACACAGTCCAGGCAAGGCAGAGGCAGAGGCAGAATTCAATCACAGGTCGGTCAGAAGCCAGAACCCAAGCTCTTTTTTTTTTTTTTTTTTAAAGATGGCCAGTAAGGGGATCTTAACCCTTGACTTGGTGTTGTCAGCACCACGCTCAGCCAGTGAGCAAACCGGCCATCCCTATATGGGATCCGAACCCATGGCCTTGGTGTTATCAGCACCACACTCTCCGAGTGAGCCACGGGCTGGCCCCAGAACCCAAGCTCTTAACCACAGGTAAGCTTTTCTCCTTAAAACGAGATCCTGGGAGGTGAGTGGAGAAAAGCCCTTGACCCCAGAACTCAAGGTTAATGTCTGGACCAGAGAGCAGCCAACCCTGAGAACTCAGGAAGTGTTTTTGTTGTTGTTGTTGTTGTTTCCCAGTTTCAATGAACAACCTAGAACTCTGTGTTCTTCCCTTCCCACCCCACCCAGCACAACCTTCCTTCCCAATTGCATAATGGGCCCTCAGACATTTGGAGGGAGGGCAAAAATAACAGTACATTCAAATAAATGCACCTTTACTATTTAAAAGTGGTTAAAAATGCTTCTCTGGTTGACAGAGAAGTACGTCCCATGGTGGCTGGGGTTTGAAGGAGCAGGTGCTATATCCAAGGTCAGCCAAGACGCAGGGGTCCTCATGTCTCAGGGATAGGCCCCAAAGCATGGACTGCAGGAGAGTGGATAAGCAGAGAGGGTGAGAAGGCCAGGATTGCAGCAGGGAACAAAGCTAAGCACTAGACCCTTGAAAACACCAACACAAGAACCTGCTACAGACAACTTCCTGGGTGCCCCACTCTTTGCCCCCATTCCAGCCCCTCTGGAAGGTACTCATCTGCCTGTAAGTGGCCCTTCCAACCTTTCTCCAGCCTTGCAGCATGTCATAGGGCAGAACATGGAGCTCTCTGCCCACCCCCAACCTAGAGCATAGCCTGGAATCCTTCATCTACAACCTTCCAAGCAGAGAAAAGTTCCCCAGCCACAAGCCCTGAAATCCTTCCTCATGCACGACTCAGCCAAGAATAGAGGGAAAATGGAACCCATTATTCTCATTCTGAATGGCTGGGAAATGGCTTTTGCTTCTCAACATGAAATGTGCCTAAAAATAAGCTTTGAATTTCAACCAGAGGTTGAAAATAGCTCCAGAGTGAACAGAGCTCTGTTCAGAGGGGACTCAAGGACTGCCTTCATTCCAAGATCTGAGAATTGAGACGCCACAGTCAGAGAAGGGGTCACAGGCAGGGGGTTCTCCAGGGCAGAGGGACAGAGGCTCACAGAACTGCCCTTGCTATGGTTTGCCAGTGGGTGGGCAGAGCAGCAGTCCCACGCAGGGTCTGTCCTCTGACTTTCAACTGCCATGCTGGCATGGGCACATGGTCAGGAATTCAAAACCCACACCTGGCCCAACAGGCTTCCTAAAATCCCCAAATGCCCAAGGAGTGTTTCTGCAGCTTCAAGGCCTGAGGGCCACAGTGTACACAGTGCTGAAGCGGGCAGAGGGTCATCAAATTCACAAGTTCCTGGGACACAGCTGCAGTGCTTATGAGTTCTATGAGAAGTCAAGCCACCTGGTCAGTCACCAAACCACTCGCCAGATATTATCTTAGAGCCAGGGAAGTCTTTAGACAGGAAGGATAAGAACACATTCCACTTGTAAGTGAAGAAAACCAAGTTCTAAAGGCAAAAGGTCTTTTTTTTGTTTTTTACAATCACCTCTAAAAGACTCCAAAATTTGATGGGCCAAATGACGTTCCTACAAAATGGGCTCCTATTAGATACCCAGGCTGAGAAATCTGGGCCACAGCTACTGGCAAGAGTCCAGATCTGGCCCAACTGAGCAGAGTCCTCACACACATGGCTGCTAGAATGGCCAGTCCTCAGCCACATGCCCATGCTTCCCCCATCCCACACGTGTGTTCCTTCTGCTGCTAAGACAGCCCCAGCCACATTCCCACACTCCTCCCACTGCTAGGTCAGCTTCCTTTCTGGGCTCACTCCTGAGGCAGGACTTATTGCAATGATTCTTAACTGGGGGCAGTTTTGCCCCCCTGGGAACATTTGGTAATGTCAGAGACATTTTTAGTCATCACAACTGGGAGGGGTGGGATGCTACTGGCATCTAGCGGGCAGAGGCCAGGGATGCTGCTAAACATCCTACAGTGCACAGGACAGCCCCCACAACAAAGAATTATCTGGCCCAAAATATCAATAGTGCCAAGGTTGAGAAACCCTGGAAAGGATGGTATGTGGACAGAGCTGGAGAGGCAGGGCGCGTCAAACTCACAGATTCCTAGGACATGGCTGCAGTGCTCCTGGGCTCCCTGGGGAGCTGAGACATCCTGGCCAGCCACAGAATCAGTCCCCAGATATTATGTCAGCACCAGGGAGGCCCTTGGGCAGGAAGGACGAGAACATACTCATCAGCTTCCCTTCCTAACTCAGGAGAAAACTAAACCACTGAACAGAGTTATTTTATGTTATATATATAAACAAACACACAAACAAAGAAAAAACCTAGCTCTCCTTTTGGCCTGGGAGTGTGTGGGTGTTGGCAAGGGCGTGTGTCTGGAAGAGGTCCATATATCCACTCAAGAGTCTCAGGAGGGCTTATGACAAATAAGGAAAGACCCCTGATCTCGAACAAGAAGGATTTTAGGATTAACGAGTCAATTCATAGGGTAGCAGAGTTCATCTACATTACACATGGAGTCCTCGGAGCCGGCCTAGTGGGTATTCAGTTCCCATTGTGAAAACGGAGGCTTGGGAAGAATGGGTGCTTTGCCAGGCACCATGGTTCTCTGACCCCAGAACACACATCTTTTCCCCTATTTGAACTCCATGTGGTGATAGCTAGTGGGCAGAGCTGTGATAACAGCTCCAACGTGGGCCTGAAGGTAGTTTGGGGACAAGTGGTTACCATGAGCCCTGCTGAGCTGTTCGCCTGTCCATGCCCTGTCCTGTTGGGCTGGCCTCCCCCACCCCGTATGCCTTCGTCCTGGGGTTATCAGGCCCCACAGCTCTGAGAAGCAAGGGTGCCCCAAACCCATCTCCGAGCCAGGACTAAAGTAACAAGAGGTAGCTCATCCAAGTTATTTTCTTAACAACCATATGGATTCTCCCCCAACTGGTAGATACGAACCATTCCCAAAAGGCAGATGGCAGTGCCTCCCCTGGGATAAGAAAGAGCTGCTAGGCAGTCCTCTGCCACGTGCAATTTCTAGCTTGCCTAGCCTTGCTCAGAGGGTCCAGCATGGTGGGCCCCAGGTCCTGGCATCTGGGGCAAGTTACCAAGCCCCAGGTGTCTCATCCGTGAACTGGAGCAATAGCTTCAATCACGTCTTCTGACAGTAAGGAATAAAAGGGTAACACATGTAAAAGGCCTTGGCTATGCCTGGCCCACAGAAAGAGCCCAACAGACAGGGAATTAAAGGGGAGAGGGCAGGGACCCTAGAGGTCTGGCTGGGCCCTAGAGGACCCCAACCCTGCAGTTTAAAATGTCTTTCTAGGAAGAAGATGAACTGGCAGCAAGCAGACCTCATGCAAGCCAGTCATCCCCCAAGAAACCCAAAAGCTGAAAACTAGCCATTCATTAGCAAGTGCAGAAGAAGAACAAAACCTCCCAGCTAAGGAGGGCAACCCTTAGAAGAGAAACTAAATCCCAACCTGAACTAGAGATCAACCCCAGCACACAGAATGAAGACATATTGGGGGGGTGGGGACAGGGAGGAGGTCTATCTGCCAGAGCCACACAAAGCCCCGGGATGGACTCAGGATGCTTCCTGCTTCTATTTGGGGCCCCAGCCTTGACTCGCTGGTGGCCTTGGGTGAGCCACTTCCTGTTGTTTGGGCCAGTTTCCTTGTGTGGCAGTTTCCACACTGCCTCTAAGGTACAAGGGAGAAATTTAAACAGCCTGTGGCCATAGGAGCTTAAAACCCTCCAAATGCCACAACCCTGGCTTTAACAATTAGTTCAGCCAAAGCTGAAGATGACCTTATTTAATGAGACTATATCAGTTATCAATTGTTTTTTCCCAAATATTTGTCAAAAAGTATTAACTATTTAAATTCAGGAATAATGAATGCCCTTTTATGAACAACAGTACTAAAAGTGGTTCATGGCTGAGAAACTTCCTCTCCGTAGTTTAAAAAAAAGGAAATGAGAGCAATGGGGCTGGGGCCTTTCCCATTTGTTCCAGCTGTGGTTTCAGGCCTTGAACGCTCTAGGAACCTCACATTTGGGTCCTATGGCCCAGGATTCAGTATGGGAGAGGTCCTTCATTTCCCAAGGCCTCAATCACCCAGCAGCATGTGCCACGGAAACACTCCCCCACCAAACAGTATGGGGCCTGCATACCCGGCAGCTTGTTTTAACAGCTTCTTTATGTCTTATTTGTTCACTCTAGACAGGAAACAAAGCACCATAAATGCCAAAATATTATTTGGTAAATGACAAGCTTTTACTATAGTCCCTTTCCATGACCGGCACAAGCCTTCAGCCCCTTACCATCTCTGAGCCCAGTGCTGCTCACCATGACCCAGCCCACCAGAGTCACAGGGCCCAGGACACGCCTGCCAAGCCACTTACCAGATTCCTGATGGAGCTGGCCAGTGTGGTCGGAGGCCTCTGCACTTTTATGACTTCTCCATAGTCAACAATATCAAAGTTACTCTTCCAAACCATCACCTGCCAAGACCAACAAGAACACAGAATCAGGAGAAAAACTCTTCCCAGTCCTCCTTTACTGAGCAAATGGGCCCAGAGGCCACCCTGGAAATTCTGGGCCATGGTCGGATAGTAGTCCCCACCTGACATCCCAACTCAACACTGGGACCTGCCTCACCTCCTTGGGGAATAGGTTTTTTGCACAGGCCTCAAGAAGACCTGGATGGGGCCCCAGAGCAGCATTCCCACAAGTGAGCAGTCAAAATACAGTAGCAGCTTTGCTGCAGAGTCAGAGAAAACAAGAGAGACTTCCAGTCAAGATGGCAGAATAGATGGTCCCTAGCGTCACTCTCTCCCACAAATCAACCGATTTAAACTATAAAAACATAACATCAAGTGCATACGGAATGGGGAGACATCCAAGCGGGAGAGGCAGAAGCTCCACGGAGACCACATGCCCTGCGGGGCCACTGTTGCACGATCCAGCAGATAGGCTTCACTGCCGCCACCTGGCTCCATTCCCAGCCTGGCCCAGTGCACACAGAGAGGGGAGACGTCTGGCAGGGGAGGCGGAGGCTGCGCAGAAACCACACACCCTGTGGGGCCGCCACTGCGTGATCCAGCAGGTAGGCTTCACCGCAGGCACCTGACTCCGTTCCCAGCCTGGCCTAGTGCGCACAGAGCAGGGAGACATCCGGCAGGGGAGGCGGGAACTCCATGGGGACCACACCACTGCCGTGCAATCCAGCAGCCCGGCCCAATGCGTACGGAGCACAGAGACGTCCAGCAGGGGAGATAGAAGTTCGTAGAGTCCACACACCCTGTGGGGGGGCCGCCGCCACGTGATCCAGCAGCATGTAGGCTTCACCGCCGCCACCCGGCTCCATCCCAAGCCCAGCCTAGTGCGCATGGAGCAGGGAGACATCCAGCAGGCGGTGCCTCTGCGCATCCCAGCAGCCCAGCCCAGAGTGCACGGAACAGGGAGAAGTCAGCACAGGAGATGGAAGCTCAGCAGAGACCACACACCCTATGGTACCGCCCCCTGACCCAGCAGCCCGGCCAAGTCCAAGCTGACCAGAGAGGTGGCTCCCCGGAGAGGCCCAAGACCCAAGGCAACCACACATGCAAGGCACTAGTGGCCAACTGAGCAGTCACTGAGGTAGCCATACCAAATTGGCAACCACAGCAACATCTTAGTCAGTCAATAGTGTCAAACCTGTGGACTGTGAAACCCCCTGCCACAATGAATAAACATCAAAGAAAAGATACTAGAAATACGAAAAATCGAGAAAGTACACCACCAAAGGATAATAAGTCTCAAGCTCTAGTTCCTATAGAACAAGAAGCACTTGAAATGACTGACAAGGAATTTCGAGAGATAATTCTAAGGAAACTGAATGAGATACAAGAAAACTCAGCTAGACAACATGATGA